CCAACAAACCAAACATAAAGAAATACAGAAAGCTTTATTTCAGGTTGAAGAGTGGAACAAACACATCAAAGACACCATGGGAAAAAAAAATAGAAAGCTATAATTATTAAAACACAAAATACCACCAAAAATACAAAAACTGCCACCAAAACTCAACAATACAGTGACTACAATTTAACACACACATTTCAAATGCCAGGCAGCAGTGGCACATACTTTTAACCCCAGCTTTTGTGAGGCAGAGGCTGGCAGACAGACCTCCAAGTCTGAGGCAAGCCTGGTCTACAGAGCAAATTCCAGACAATCATGGCTACACAGAGAAATCCTGTCTCGATAAAACAAAGCACACACACACACCCATGTACTTACCAATATACACACTGCAGTAATAACTTTAAGCATCAATGGCCTCAATTCTCCCATCAATGGGTACAAATTGACTGAATGGATCAAGGAACAAAATCCATCTGTTGCCTACAAGAAACACATCTTAAAGATAGGTACTCTCAGAGTAAAAAGATGTACAAAAGTACTCCAATCAAAGTAGACCAAGAAGCAAGCACTGTCATCCTAATTTTCTGATAAAACAGACTTCAACTGAAACTAACCAGAAGAGATCAAAAGAACATTTCATTCTAAACAAGGGAAGAGTTAATGGAGAATATTTAACAATCCTAAACATATACACACACCAAACTCCAGGGTGCCCAGTTTCATTAAAAAAAAAATTGAGTTCTGGATTTAAAGAAAAAGATTAACTTCAACACATTAACGTCAGGCAATTTCATGCCTTACATTCACCAATAGATGGGTCAGCTGGACAAAAAAATAGAGAAACATCAGAATTAACTGATATATGAAATGGACTTAATTATCTACAGAATATTACACCCAAACATCAAAGAATATACATTCTACTCAGTGGCACACACAAGCTTCTCTGAAAATAGATGACATCCTGAGATACAATAACTCATCTTTACAAACTCAAAAAAAGAAAGAATTCACTCTTTGTATCCTATCTGACCATAATGCAATAAAATTTAAAATGACAGCAAAAAAAAAAAATCTCTAGTAAATACATGAAGTCAAAGGGATTAAACAACTCATTAAAGGATGAATAAAGGGTAAAAGAAAAAAATCAACAAAGAGACACTGGAACTAAATGAAAATAAAACAAAAGACAATAAAACCTCTGGGACACAATGAAACAGTCAGTCCTATGAGGGAAATGTATAGCTCTAAGTGCCTACACTAAAGAAAATCAGAAGGAGTATGACTAAATGACTAATGATGCAACCCAAAACGTTGGAAAGACAAAAATAAACCAAATCCAAACACAGCCAATGGCAAGAAATAAAAATCAGAACAGAAATCCATGAAGTAGAAACAACAAACCAATACAAAGAATCAACAAATTTAAGAGCTGATTATTTTGAAAAAGTAAACAATATTGACAGACCACTGACCCACCTAACCAAAAGAAAGTCAGGACCCAAATTAACAAAATAAAAAATTAATAGGGAAACATTACAAATGACACCAAGAAATTCATAATATTTAAAAAACCTGCACTCCATTAAGATGTGAAAACCAAAAGAAACAAATGAATTTCTAGATTCAGACAAATCACCAGAATTAAGCTAAGAAGTCAATAACTTAAACAGACCCATACCAAATGAGGAGATTAAAACAATAATAAAAAGTCTTCCAGCCAAAAATGTTCAGAGCCAGACAGATTTTCAGCAAAATTCTAGCAGACATTCAAAGAACAGTCTCAAAGTACCCACATAAGCCAGTCCTTCTTAAACTATTCAGAAAGAAAGGAAGGGAAGGGAAGAGAAGGAAGGAAGGAAGGAAGGAAAAAAGGAAAGAAGGAAGGAAGGAAGGAGAAGGGGAAAGGGAAAGGAAAAGGAAACAGAAAAGAAAAGAAAAGGACAGGACAGGACAGGACACTTCTACAAAATCAGTAACATTCTATTACATTCTATTAACCAAAGCAGATAAAGATGGAAACCGTGAAGGAGGAAGAGTTAGAAGAGAAGGGATGGAGGATAGGGAGAGGGAGGGAGGAAGACTAAAGACCAATATTCCTGATGAACATACTAAAAATATACACTAAAATACTTTAAACAAAATATAGACATGCATCAAAAAGATTATACATCATTACCAAGTTGATTTTATCCCTGAAATACAGGGATGATTCAATATATAAACAAGTCAATAAACGCAATAAACCACATAAATGGACTTAAAACACAAAAATCACATGACCTCAATAGATACAGAAAAAGCCTTTAACAAAATCTAAAATGCTATCATGATAAATGTTCTAAAGAATGTAGGGCTAGAATGAAAAAAATACATTTTCAACACTATATATACATATATGTACATATTCTCAAAGCTACATACAAGACACCCACAGCCAACATCATCCTAAAATCTTGAAGAAATCACACTGAAGTTAGGAATGATAGATACAGGGATAGCCACCATCCACACACTGTGCTCAAAGTACTAGCTTGAGCAACAAGGCAAGAGAAAGCAATTAAAGGGAAACAAACAGGGAAAGAAGTACTTAAACTATCCCTATTTGCAGATGATATACTATAGAGATCCCAAAAAATTCTAAGAGAAACCTTCTAGAAACAATAAATAAATTCAGAAACATAGCAGGATACAGTGTCAACTTCTACAAATGAATAGCTTTTGCATATATCACCAGCATACAGAGAACATCATGGACACATTTCCATTCACAATATACTCAAAGAAAATAAAATGCCTAGGAAGAGAAGGACCTCTGCAATGAAAACTTTAAACATTTGAAGGGATAAATACATTAAAAATGGAAAGAGTTGCCATGCTCCTGGACCAGGATTAACATTGTGAAAATGACCATTTTACCAAAAGCTATTTACAGATTCAATTAAATCCCAATCAAAATCCCCATCTCATTCTTCACAGAAATAATAATAATAATAATACAAAAACACTATCCTAAAACTCATATGGAACCACAAATGATCCCAGAGAGCCAAAATGATCCTAAGCAAAATGAACAATGCTAGAGCTATTACAGTTCTAAAACTTAAGATACATTACACAGCTATAGTAATAAGATCATTATGGTACTACTACAACGTAGAAGAACCGAACATTGAGTACACATAGTTTCAGCCACTTAATATTTTACAAAGATGCCAAAAACATATACAGGAGAAAAGAAAGCATCTTCAACAAATGGTGCTGGGATAACTGGATGTCCACATGCAGAATAATCTTAGACGTGTATCTATCACCCAGTAGGTGGTGGGAAATGGATCCATGCCCTCCAGAAGAGCGGCCAGTGCTCTCAACTGCTGAACCACCTATTTAATACAATGTCCAGTAGTCTTGAGATGCTTAGACTAGTGTTAGCCTTTTAAGCTTCTGAATCAAAAGTAAAGGCAGAAGACAAGCCCAGCTATTGACTAGTAAGAGGAGTTACACAAGTTATGGAGTAGGGCCTTTTCAGAGACTGTGAGAATATCCACCAGGTTAAGGGCAAATTATTTTGGCTGGTGTCCATATCAAAAAGAGAAAAGGAGGCAGCAAAAGAAAAAGAGCTACCTTCTTGAGACCTCAGAAAACATGGAAGCTTGAGATGAATACATTTCATTAAGGGAGTTATTTATTTAGTTATGCTTGGAGGTAGGGTCTTGTGTAGCCCAAGCTGCCCTCAAACTCACTGTGCACTGAGGATGACTTTGTGCTTCTCATCCTTAGGTCTCTACCCTCCAATGCTAGAATTAAAGGCTCAGACCAGCAAATGGGCTTGGCAAGCTCCCTATTGTGCTGTATTTCAGGTTCCTCCCACCTTAGGTCTTGTGTTTCTTTCTGCCTCCTTGCTCCAGGTTCTTCTCTTCAGGTTGCAAAATAAAATTTCCTCCTAAGTATTGGAGGTCTTAACCTGGCTTGTTGTGAAGGTGAAGTTCCTGCTATCTTCATCAAACCATTGACTAAGTCATTGCAAAGGTGTTACCATGGTATTTGTAGCATTGCCACATTTGTATTCATTCAAGTCTCAAGAAATTTTCCAGCTGTGGTAGATTTCTGCTCTCTGTATCAGAAAGGATCTTACTGACCACAAGCAGGGAATTTTAATCCCTGTTAGAGAAAACTAACAGATATGTGTTATGTTCCAAATAGTGCCTGGAGCCAGTCAGTGGTGGCACATGCCTTTTCTCCCAGCACTCTGGAGGCAGAAGCAAGTGGATCGCTGGATTCTAGGGCAGCCTGGTCTATAGGGCAGCCTACAGAGTGAGTCCCAGGACAGCCAGGGCTACACAGAGAAACCATGTCTTGAAAAACCAAAACACTATTACAAACAGTGCCCGGAAAAGCAGCTGGTTGGAAATGACCTTAATCCCCCTTCTCCCTGCCTATCATTTCACTGGGGGAGTACATTAAAAAAAAAAAAAAAAAAAAAAAAAAATCAAAGTCTGTGCAAGCCCCGTGTTGATTAATATGTCTTCAAGTAGGATTGCAGTCCTTCGGTTTCTGTGGGGTGTTTTACTTAGTTGTTTTTAGAGCTTAGTATTATAGAGCCTTGGCTGCTGTGGGTGCCGAACATGACAATAAATATTTAACAAGATCTACTCCAGCACAGGCAGGAAACAATGCACAAATGAAAACTCCTCTTGTCCAGGAAGCTAGTCAGGGAGGACAACCAGTGGTAGAAAACCTACGGTAATGCCGAAAAGGCCTTCCCAGGAACCTCCAACGAACTATATTTTAAAACGGGGAACGGTGGCTAGATCAGAGGTCTCAGCTACTGGCCACCCTCCTGCAGCTAGGGTTCAGCCAAGGCCATCTGGGCTTGAGGTGATTTTCAGCCAGGCACTGTGCTCAAGCATGGTTAAACCAAGGCCCTGGAGGTCTGGAGGGAGGGACTGGAGGCCTTTATCTGAGGCGTGGTCTCTCCCCTGCACCGCCCACCTCGGTTTACCAACCAGGCCCTGCAGCCTCACCCCTAATCCATCCACCAGCCTGTAGCTCCGTCTCGCGGCCAGCAGGTTTGTTTCCATGGGACTAAAACAGCACTTTAAACCAACCCGCTCGCCAGCAGGGTTGCTTCCATATGCAGGCGCACCCGAGGTGAGGCATGCCGGGAATTGTAGTTTTCCCGGCCCAGCAGGGCCCTCCACCTGGGGAGGGACCCTAGCTGGAATCCCTCAGCCTGTCGGGAAACGCGCCACCACGTGACCAGGATGACGCCACGCTCCATTGTGCTCCCAGCAGGGCATGCTGGGAAATGCAGTTGCTGGGGGAAATGTAGTTGCTGCCCTCTCCGCACGTGGGCAAGTGTCTGCTTTGCCTAGATAACTGGGCTCACCCTGTAGAAAGCACGAGTTCAAGAACAGATGTTTTCAGTTGTAGGAGGACCAAAGGATCAACTAACTTGGGAAACAGATTTTTGCTAAGGACAATAAAAGTGAAAAGTGCCAGCTTGTTCTTGTAAAAGAATCCCACTTGGCCCCCTTTGATGATGAGCAGGTGGGCAATAAACCACACAAAACCTATTCTAATTTTCTGTCTCTTCAACATAAATTATGACACCTGTTGACAGGTAAATTGAAGAAGGGGAGGGAGGAATGAAGGGAGAGGGAAAGAGAATAAAAATCATGTTTCTCTGTTTTGTGGTAAATGTGTTTACACTATGAAAACCTTCAGTAGTGAAAGAACATGGTATTCAATTTCACTTGAGTTTCAGGGCACTTGGTACCACCCACAGGGCAATTAAAGCCCTTCTTCCTTCTGGCTCACAAACCAGCTCTCCAATAAACCTAGTCAAATTCGAGATACCTTCTCATTTACTTAGTGGGTGTCTTGACAGAATTAATTCTGTATTCTGATTCTTGATTGTGATGCCAGGGACCGCCTGAACTGAGAAGAATGAGCCACAGCTGCTAAGACATATTCATAAGACTTGTGACTTATCCATGGGAAGAAATGTTAGTTCAAATAACACTTTAAACATGAAAAATGAAAAGGCATTCTGAAGCATCAGTGTAAAAGCAAAGCTGATAATTTTCTGTGTATATACAGTTTTTCTTCCAATCACCTACGATGTTTCTGTGGAACAAACAGATGGACACCTGTAAGCACGCCACAGAAAAACCCCAGACTTCGGTGATTTACCTTCTCTAGTCTCCTATTAAGCAGTAGTAGGGAAGATAAATTGAATAAATGTGTTTTTTTCCCTCACTTTTCTCCTATTCATCTCGTGGCAAATAAGAATTTAAGTGAAACAATTACAAAGTGAATTTAAAATCTTCAGTATTGAAAATAAATTTTAACAGCCAGAGATTCAATTTCTCTTTCACTAAAATTTCATTACGTTCAACATCTAATTTTGTGGGTTTGGTGAATATTTTTGTTTGTTTGTTTTCCATAGTCATGATAATATAGTCCAGATATGATGTGAACCCAAGAAAATTCTGCTGTCTCAGCTTCCCAAGTGATAGTATTTCAACATGGGCTGCCAAACTTAGCTTCTGGTTTTGTGTTTGAAGCAACTGGACACACTTTTATTTATTTATTAATTTTCTTGTTTCTTTCCTGATTCTCAACTAATTTTTAAGACGCTGATTCCATTCATAAAAAAGATTGTTTTATTCATGGAAACCTTGGAGATCCCATGTGGACCACATACTATCTCACCACAACACTGAAATTTCCTCCATCCTTTTTTTTTCAATGTCCCCTTCATAGAGTTATTTGGGTGATCTTAAGTAAGTCTGGTCATCTCAGTCTCCACTTGACACCATTTAATAGTTCCACTCATTGAACTAATACTTTCCCACCAAACAGGATGAAGCTTAAACTGCTCACGGTTTCAACCTCACCCACTAGCTTCTCTGTCCCTATTCCCAGAATTCAGGCCTTTGAGCTCAGCCTGCCTTTGCGATTTATTTCTCCTGACACACTCTACCCATTTTTAATTGCAGTGCATTTTGCCTCCTGTAAATGGAGTTCTTAATTAGTCTAGACTATAAAAAACCAGAGTCAGATATAGAGCAAAACACTGAGATTGGTGAGAAGAAGGAGCAAACCACAGCTACACCTTACCTCCGTAGTGTCTCAGCAGACAAAAGAGCAAGTTCCTGTTCTCCTTGCTTATATCCTGTTTCTGCCCAGCTACCTCATTTCCTGTCTGTCTGTACAGACCTCCAGGCCTCTATGGTTAGCTAGTGGCAAGCTCCGTACTCTGACCTTTAGACAGGCTTTATTTGTACAAGCAAGGTATCACCACAGTCTTCTCTTGAGTAAAGGAATTTTGTCTTTAAATTTTTTTAAATTATTTATTCTCTCTCTGTCTCCGTCTCTCTGTCTCTCTCTGTCTCTGTCTGTCTCGCTGTCTCTGGTGTGTGTGTGTGTGTGTGTGTGTGTGTGTGTGTGTGTGTGTGTGTGTTTACATATAGCAGACATTGCACTTAGGTCTGGCTAGATGGGTCAGCACCTTGGTTGCAAAGCCCATCGATGAGTACAGTGGAAGGAGAAAACTGGGTTGTCCTGACTTCTGTATGAGAAAACACATGTAAGCACAGAAATTTCTTTAAAATGAGTGGATAAGTTAGTAAATTTTAAATGCTTCTTGTAGTGAGATAGTCCTTCTGTAGCACTGACCACGCCCATTGGGGGGTGGAGCGATGGGCGGAGGTGACCTGAGGAAGGAGTCGGAGGGGGCCAGGAAGGCGCTCTCTCTTTCTGGCGTGACTCGGACAGGAGAAGATCGGGTTGAATTTCCTGGTGTTCATCTGTCTAGGTTGTAAGTTATTTCTCCCTAAATAAACATCTATTCGGCCTATTTGTTTATCCTGATCCTTATTTACCGCAATATCTGGTGTCAGAAGTGGGATAATAGTCATCGTCTTTGGGTTGGTTTTAGTTATTTGGGATTGGGTGATGCTTACACTCGGGTTTATCTTTTAGACAGGAATAGGGAATGGTTGGTAAAGGTATGGTTTAGATGGGATATAGGTAGATTAGCCTATTTTCTTGAGAATTTGAGTAAGAATGAGATAGTATTTTACAGCTTACATTGTTGTGTATTCTTATGTGGTAAGCTATGTAAAATTAAGTTTATATTTTGTTATATTGTGTTAAATGTTTCCACTTATAATATTTTATGTACATTATTTTTTACCATATTCTATGTATGTATACTTTTCCTGTATTCAAGACATTTTGTATATTGATACAATTTGGGATATTTATCTTGCTGCCCTTTATAGTTCTACCTCTTGTCTTGACACTTGTACTCTACCTCTATTTTAGGGATTTACATGTAGGTATATGTAAATAGTTAATTGTTTAAGTATTTGTTCCTGCTTTACTCAGGAAAGTTTTAATCAGTCTTTTTAGCTAAGTTCCCGAGTATTACAGATTATCTTCACTCACATTTCCTGTACCTATGAGATTAGTCAGATATAGATGCTTAATCTTCAATCACTTCATAGACATGCAAAACATGACATTTAAATGTTTTAATATTAGTACTCCATTGACATGAGACACTGTTGCTCCTGACAGCACCGTACACTTTCCCAAAAATATGTTGGACACTGTTGTTGCTCCTGCTGGAGTTCATTCTCGCCTCAGCTAATGGCCTGTTGGGCATAGAATTGCCCCCACCTTGACCACTGATTTGGACATGCAGTCCTATGTGCTTGCAGGAGACAAATATAGAAGACTACTTGACCTTGCCAAGTCAGGGTAAGACAGCCATTCTATTTCCCTGCTGTTGTTGTGGTCTGTCAAGTTCTCTTGGCCTTAGCCAAATCTGGGTGTACCAACGTCGCTGTGAGACCTAGGGTGACTGTTCAGGTGGCTTGCTGTTTCTGTCCTTGCTACACCTTTTGGAAGTTGTCCATCCGCATTTCCTGTCTACTCTAGTATTGTTAATTTCCTTCTCAGGTCTTGATGAGGTTGAAGATTAAACTATCACAACTATTATTCTCTCTTCCTAGTTAGATATATTAGGTACTAGACTTACGTTTCCCAGCTTAGGACAACTCTATTGTAAACTCCATTATGCCCTCACCCTAGGACTAGATATGTAGGTCATTTTGTTCTTGATTTTCCTTTTCTTAGAGCACACTTGTTAGTCACTGTTTTGTATATAGTTTTGTATTAAGCCTAAATCTTTTCTTTAGACTAAAAGAGAAATTGTAGTGAGATAGTCCTTCTGTAGCACTGACCACGCCCATTGGGGGTGGAGCAATGGGAAGGAGGGGGCCAGGAAGGCGCTCTCTCTTTCTGGCGTGACTCGGACAGGAGAAGATCGGGTTGAATTTCCTGGTGTTCATCTGTCTAGGTTGTAAGTTATTTCTCCCTAAATAAACATCTATTCGGCCTATTTGTTTATCCTGATCCTTATTTACCGCAATAGCTTCTATTAGAAGAAACTATTGTTTTGTTCTTTTGACTACCTATTCCTTGACTTCAGGCTGAGAAAGCAATCTGCTTTCTTCCAGAAATGTCACTGATTTTTCATTGTTATAGTCACAAAATGGCAACACAGTCCCCTACAACACTTTCCCTCAGATTGAATTGCATTCTTTGACCTAAGAAATGCAAATGCAAATATCAAATAGTTCATATTTTGTGCCAGTTACTCACTTATATAGACTACCCATATCTTTTGGTGAGTATGGACATTGGATATGGATGTTAGGACTTGGGGGAATCTTGGACTGTTAATGAACCAGCAAATCAACCCCCCGGGCTTCAAAAATAGACCTGTGAGTTGAATTGCCCAACAGTTAAAGTGGCTCTTATGAGGTCTTTGTTGCTTAGCTCCACCAATTAAGTTTTGTGGGCAGGTAGGTTTTCTTTTGTTTTTATAAGTAAAGCCATGTTATAGCAATATTGCTACAACTGTTTTACATTTTGAAGGCTGAAGTACTTCTGTAGTTCTGGTATATTGACATAGTCATTAAAAGGAAAAAAACGGGAGCCTGTAAAATAGTTGAGCAAGTAAAGATGCCTTCTGCCAAGCCTAATGACCTGAGTTCAACCCCCAGACCCCACATTCTGGAAGGAGAGAACTGTGTGACACAAATAATAAAAACCCAGAGGCAGACACTGGAGTTCAAGCTGAAGATCAGAAAAGCAAAGTAGCCAGCCAGCAGCTTTTACCTCTACCAAGGCTGAAATGGAGGTCTC